CTTTCTCCTTCTCCTTCTCCTCCTCCCCTTTCTCTTCCTCTTTCTCCTCTCTTTCCTTCTTCTCCTTCTCCTTCCTTTCCCCCTCTCTTTCTTTTAAAAACATTTTAGGTTTATTTATGTCTATGAGTGTTTTGCCTATGCACATGTGTGCCTAGTGTCTGTGGAGGTGGAGGTGGGTAGAGGGTGTCTGATCCCTGGCACTGGAGTTACAAGCAGTTGTGAGTGTGTGAGAGTGCTGTGTGGGTGCTGGGAACCCAATCCAAGTCCTTTGATAGAGCAACAAGTGTTCTTAACCACTGAACTAGGTCACCAGTCCCTGCCCCTTCTTCTCCTCCTCCTCCTCCTCCTCCTCCTCCTCCTCCTCCTCCTCCTCCTCCTCCTCTTCCTTCTTCTTGTCAGTACTGGTATTTAACTTAGGGTCTCATGTGTGCTAGGCATATGCCCTTCTACTAAATTATAAAGCCAACTTTCTATTTTACTTTTTTCTCTTTGTCTTCTCTCTTTTTCCTCTTTTTTTTGGGAGAGGGAGGGAGGATGTTTTGTTTTACACGGGGTTTCTCTGTGTAGTCCTGGGTGTCCTAGAACTTGCTCTGTAGACCAAGCTGGCCTTGAACTTACAGAGATCCACCTGCCTCTGCCTTCTTCTTCTTTTTTTTTTTTAAGATTTTATTTTTCTATTTTATGTATGAGTACACTGTCCCTGTCTTCAGACACACCAGAAGAGGGCACCAGATCCTATTACAGATGGTTCTGAGCCACCATGTGGGTGCTGGGAATTTAATTCAGGACCTCTGGAAGAGTAGTCAGTGCTCTTTACCACTGAGCCATCTCTCCAGCCCCCTGGCTCTGCCTTTTAAGTGCTAGGATTAAAGGTGTTCACTACCATGCGTGGTTTTTTTTTCCTAAGATTTATTTTTGTCCTATGTCTGTCAGCACTACAGGGACAGAACAGTTGCTTAGTTGTGTCTGTCACATCAGGGCAGAGGGCAAGTGGCTATTTTTATACTCAGTGTTGAGAAGCCAGTAAGCACTAAGAATGGTTAGCTGATAGCCTGACATTTTATAGACTGTGGTGAGGTGACACTGTGGTTTGGCTTTGATGCTGACGATCAGATCCCAATGTCAGAGAATTCAAGGACTCATCTGAGGTAGTCTAGTCAGCATTTTAGCAAGATGAAGCTTTGGAGTGGGAAGGGTGTGGAAACGGAGTTTTTCTGGGGGACATTCAAAGAGGCCAGGAAAATACATGAAACGCTCAACCTTCCTTCATATTCCAGATCCAGAAGCCAGAGAAGATAAGGCTCACCTGTTGGCCATGTGGCTGGTTATAACAGGGCAGCTGTGATTTCAGGCCTTCGGACTCAGCCATGACCTCTCTAACCTCACTGGAAACCTGCCGAGTCACCCGAACAGGCTTTGGCCGGCTCCACAGTTCTTACCCCAAGAGCTCACGTCCTAAATTCTGAACCATGTTTGGGTTTGCTGGAAGTTGACTGTTCTTCCAAGACTAGTGAAGTGCAGTCTATGCTGGTGGCACTTGGGGCAGAGGGCCCTCTAAGGTTCCACTCTCCCATCCAGCCAACTGCACATGGCCTTAAAAGTAACAATTGTGTAGGAGGGAGGACTGGTTGTAGGTGCTCTGATACAAGCTTGTTAATTCTTGAAGAAGAAAAGATTTCTTTAAGGGCTGGAGAGATAGTCCTGCAGTTATAAGTGCTTTCAGTTCTGGCAGAAAACTCACATTCAAATCCCAGCACCTACACAGTGGCTTGCAACTACCTTTAACTCTTCCTCCAAGGATCTGATGCCTTTAGACTCTACAGGCATCTGTGCTCAAATACACATAACTATCCACAAATACATACACATAATTTTAAAATATTTCAAAATGATTTATTTCTACATATACATATACATAGAACTAATATAAAGTTTGAAAGATGGTTTGGTTATATATGTATATGCATATATACAGTATATACATACATATATACACATACATATACACATATACATATATATGCAAAACATGTATGGGCCACTGTGAGCTGTCTGACATGAATGCTGGGAACCCTGACTGGGTTTTGAGAAAGAGCAGCTCTAAACCACTGACTCATCTCTCCAGCCCCTCCTTTTACGTTTTATTTTGAGATAAATCTTTGCTCAGGTTAGTTTGGAACTCACTGTGTAAATCAAGCATGCCTCAAACTCTCAATCCTTCTGTGTCACCCTCCTGAGGAGCTGTGATGAAAGGATTGCTCCCATGTCCCTTTGGCTTGTCATTTCTGAGCACACGGGCAGAGTACAGTGTCTATCATGCCAAATTCAGGAATGGGTGACAAAGTTTCTGTTGGGTGATGAGCATGTTTTGAAAATCAGTAGGGAAAATAAAGGTTACAAACTTTCAGTTATAAGATGAATGCAGCAGGGTGGTGATGGGCATGGGTTTTCTGGGGTGGTGAGTGTGTGTGTGTGTGTGTGTGTGTGTGTGTGTGTGTGAGTGTGTGTGTGTGAGTGAGTGAGTGTGTGTGTGTGTGTTGGGGTGGGTTTTTATTAAGGTTATTTTTTTAACCTATGTATAGGTCTGTGTCTGTTTATGTGAACATGATTTTGAGTGCCTTCAGAGGACAGAAGAGGGCATCAGATCCCCTAGAACTGGAGTTACAGATAGTTGTGAGTTGACATGTGGGTGCTAGGAATTGAACCTGTGTCCTCTAGAAGAGCAGCTAGTATTCTAACCACTGTGCCTGCTCTCCCCTCACCCCTCTCTTTCACCCGGATGGGTTGAATCTGATAATCATTACATAGTTTACCAAACTCAGGATGAGAAGAAAGAGGGTTTCATGAAATAAACAGACTAAACAACACTGTAACAGGAAATCTGTCTGTCAGCTCCTGTTGTGCACACTATTTGGCCACAAGACCTTGGGTAACAGCTCCTCTGGGGCTCAGCTGTTTGGCTCTTCTGTGAAATGACAAGATGTCTGCTACCCACTGAGGTACATTGTGAAACTCATGCTCATGTCTGGAGCTTGGTCTGCTAAACACCCAGTCTGTATTAATTGCCTTCTGACCCCCAACAAAGAGGCAGGAGGCAGAAAACCCGTCACAAAGTGCCAGCCTACCATCATTTTTCCTTTCTTAGGATGACTGCAAGTCCACCTTCAGCCTTTGCTCTGTTTCTTTATGAGGCTCCAGGGAGTTAAGAGTCAAGATGCTATAGGTGGCTAAGAAGGGCTGGAGCTCCAAATGGACCAGCTTTGCCAGGAGGATGAGAAAAGGAGAGACGACCTTGACCTGTGCCCTCTTCCCCCATGCTTCTCCCCTCTGCGGCATACCTTACATTGTAGTCTTCCCATCCTCCTCCTTGGAGACTTATTTCTGTCTCGTTTTTAATTCAGTGCAGCGGAAATGAATCATCTCTGGGTTTATTTGGTAAATAGTTTCATGCCTTCTGACCCCAGCTAGTTCGCTTACTGGTTCTTTTATGGATGTTCCTGGGCTAGCCACCCCAAACCCAACACACAGACAAGACCCCTAAGGGCTGGCTGTTTGTGGAATGTGGTTCTTTCTCGTCTCCAGGTCTGGAGGCTTGACCTCTTCCACCATGGGAATGGAGAGAAATAAAAGCAAGCATTCCAGATGAGTTTCCATCAGAGAAACAAAGAAACCTCTGGGTTTTCAGAGGTTTGTGTGCTGTCTCAGCACCCCTCAAAATCTTCTCCCAAAACCATGTGTGTCACAAATGAATAATTAGACTCCTCCAGTGAGTCACTGGATATCAAAGAGAAGAGATGTAGCGAAACAGGTTCAAGACCACCCAAGCCCTGCCCCCTCAGAGTGATGGAATTTCACAGGCTCCAGCTCTGTCTGGGTTGGTCTACTTCCTGGTGAATCCAGTCATGGAACTGTTTCTCAGAGCTATCCAGGATTCTCAGTGATTCAGGAATAAAATATTGACACTGAACTGTAGTGAGGCTGCAGGGATTGGAATTAACACAGTTATCTATGTGATGGCAATATGACATGGACCACAGATACACTCAGGGCTCCCGAGGATGGCACTCCTTTTTTTTTGGTTTTTCGAGACAGGGTTTCTCTGTGTAACCCTGGCTGTCCTGGAACTCACTCTGTAGACCAGGCTGGCCTTGAACTCAGAAATCCGCCTGTCTCTGCCTTCCAAGTGCTGGGATTAAAGGCATGTGCCACCACTGCCCGGCGATAGATGGCACTCTTAAGGAATAGTAACAGGACCAGGGGACTGGGAATCATGGAGGGTGTTCTGAGAAGGGGACATTTGCACAGATGTAAGACCTGCAGAACACTTTAACACAAATTAGACCATGCCCAGAGTTTCCAAGGAGCCCTGAAGGGCAGACACATTCCTGTTGTGTGCATGGAGAGATGACAGACATGAACAAATGTCTGTCCACCCTATATAACACACCATCGATAGACCAAATAACTGTACCTAAGTCTAGCTTGCAGGACCAGTGAGTTTCTTAAGGTTACTTACAAGAGAATGGATGTGTAAAAAGAAGCGGCACCGCCAAAAGCCCACCCAGTATGAATGCCTAGTCATGAATGCTGTTTAGCTGGATCTCCCAGCTCACCTTGCAGGCAGCCCAGGCAGCGAAGGGTCTTCTCTCCTCAGCCTTATCAGTCCTGTACTTTTCTGAACTCCCTGAGTATTACGACCTGTTCCTCAAGCGTAGAATGTTTCCATGATGAGGAAATAGCCACACTTGGCCTTAAATGCCTCTTTTTTCAGATATGGACAATGAGGTGCAGAGCAACTGAATAAACCATGCCCTCTAGTAAGCAAGTAGCCATACTGCATTAGATCTGGTGTACTTCTGTCCCTCCCCTCAGGTGATGGAGCTGGGCTGCGCAGTCTTGGGGCGGGGCATATCACCCAGGGGCGTGGTCTAAAACCTGGAGGCGGGGCTTTCTTCCCGTGGGCGGGGCCGGCGGCCGAACTGGCCTGAAGGTTTAGGGATCGGAATCCTTCTCCGGCGGCCAGGGAAACGCCTGGATCATGGGCGTCGAGGAGCGGGAAGCACAGAGGCGGCGGGGCTGAGCCCCGCTGAGACCTCTGGGCCGGCCATGGGCGACCGCGAGCGCAACAAGAAGCGGCTGCTGGAGCTGCTGCAGGCTGCGGGCACCGGCAACGGGCACTGCGCCGACTGCGGGGCAGCGGGTAAGGGCGCGGTGTGCGGGGCAGGTGCAGCCAGCCCCGGCCCATGGCCCACCGGCTCCTTCCCTAGGAGCCCGTCCACGCGCGACTCAGACTCGCTTCTCGCTTGGGACCCCAGTCCTTCTCGCTGGAGAGTTTCGGGAGACCCCGACGGTCCTCCGTCTCTCTGCTCCCGAAGCCCGGGACCTCGGTCCTCGCTCCGCATCAGATGCAGTCCATGCCCTGGGTCCCTCTCGCTCTCCCACCGGGCACCTAACCACCCAGGACCCGGCTCTGGACACCATCTCCGATGCCGGCCCCTTTCCGCGCCCTCGGACCCCGAGGTCCTCACCTCGGTGCCTCCTGGGCCTCCGCGACCCTCACTGCCGCGCAATAACCCAGGATCCTGATGTGGCTGGCTCCGGGCCCCGAGCCTACGATCAGGTCCCCCACTTGCCCGCTCTCCTCGGTTCCTTCTTCCGAGGTCTCCTAGGTGTCGAAGAGCCAAAGGGTGGGCTAAGCAGATTTATGCTGTCACCTCAGTTGTCCAAGGTTGGGAACCAAGAGAGAAAGGATTGCCGGCGTGGGCAGAGCTTGCCTCCGACGCAGAATCCTAACTGTCCGGCCCAGCCTGTCCCTGCACCCTAGTCCAATCCTTGTCCAGCTCAGCGGAGATCCTGCTCTTCCACCCTGCAGATCCTGATTGGGCCTCTTACAAGCTGGGGATTTTCATCTGTCTCCACTGCTCTGGCGTCCACCGCAACTTCCCAGACATCAGCAAAGTTAAATCCGTGAGACTGGACTTCTGGGACGACAGTATGGTGGAGGTAGACTGGCACGCATGTGCAGATTCTTGGAATTGGGCGTGAGGGAGAAGAGGCGGGACGCAGGTGTTCCTTCTCTGTGGAAGAGGAGGAAAATGAAGCTCAGAGAGGTGCAATGATTAATGAGAGGAAACAGACCTGTAGATAGTGGCTTAGACAAAAACCCTGAGTTCGTGTGTGTGTGTGTGTGTGTGTGTGTGTGTGTGTATTATGCCATGTATGGCCAGGAGCTCACAGAGCTCAGAGGAAGGCATCAGATTCCCTGGAATTGGAGTAACCAATAGTTGTGAGTGGCCATGGTGGTGCTGAGAATCGAACCCAGGTCCTCTGCGAGAGCAGTAACTGCACTTCACTATTGAGCCATTGCTCGAACCCTTGGGCTAGGGCCTTAGTCTTGCCTGTGGAGTCTGTCTCCACACCCATGTAATGGACATGCATCTCCCTATCACTGGCTGCTGTAAGAAGAAAACAGGTTCAGCCCAGACACAAAGTGAATTAAGTTACTGTCACCGTCCGTAGGAGCCAGGAGGAAGAAGATTCAAAGCCTAAGGTCCTTCACCCCTTCCTAGCCCACTCTGCTTTCCTGCCCAGTTAGTATGTTGGAATCCTCAGCTGCGGAGGTGAAGCCATTTTGGCCAGAAAACTTTAAGAGAGCAGGCAGGTCAACAACACACTGGTTAACAGAGAGGTTCAAGGGCCGCAGGGGAAGCGGGTAACATCACTGAGCACTTCCCTTTTATGGCAGGATCTGGGCTGGGCTTTTTACCATTTGATTCACACAGACATAACTGGAAACCAATTCTATTCTTTGTGGGAAGAGCACACTGAAAAGACAAAGTGGCTATCCATTCAAGGCTTACATTCTAAGCAAGGCAAAGACAGAAACTCCACCAGGTAGCCCATACACTCACAGGTTTTTGCCTTCTAAGCCCCTGCAATGTCTTCACTGGGATTGACTGGTGAGATCACCAGAGGTCCAAAAGCAATACATGTCTATGATACAGCTCCAGGAGGACAGTGTTCACTGTCCAGAGACACGAATTTCAAACCCGATGTTCCTGCCTTTAGCCCAGCTATGTCACACCCACTGGCACATCAGCGTATCACTGGACACAATGCCCACTCTAGTCTCTGGTGACATGTGGTATTCTATGGGGCTGGCAGCCATTTTCATTCTCTAGCTACCTCAGTCTCCTGTAGGCTCTAAGGGCTGTGAGGAGAGGCTTGGCTGTCTTGGAATGAGTGAGAGAAAAAAAACATGAGGTTTGTGGTCTGGCAGAGCTGGCTTCAGATCCTTTTTTTTGTTTTTGTTTTTTTGTTTTGTTTTTGAGACAAGGTTTCTCAGTGTAGCCCTGGCTGTCCTGGAACTCACTCTGTAGACCAGGCTGGCCTCAAACTCAGAAATCCACCTGCCTCTGCCTCCCAAGTGCTGGGATTAAAGGCGTGCGCCACCACTGCCCTGCCAGAACCTCATTTTGTGTTAACCAGTGCTGTTGCCTTAACAAGCCACCTAGCCTCTCTGAGCACCGATGTCCTCTTTAAAAACAAAATAGTAATGTTAAAATGATTGAGAGAACCCAATGTGCTATTATGTGAGAACTGTAAGGGGCTGTTCTTCTATAAGGCATAGTTATCAATACCCCACGTTATACCAAACTAGGGCTTTCCATGCCTGCTGAGACGCCTACTTAGAAGCAGTTTCTCCTGGCCCAGCCTCAGAGCCAGTGAAAACCACAGGCATTTATTTATTTATTTATTTATCTATCTATCTATTTATAGACGGGGTTTCTCTACATAGCCCTGGCAGTCCTAGAACTTGTACTGTGTAGAACAGGCTGGCCTTGAACTCAAAGAGATCCACCAGGCTCTGCTAGGATTAAAGGCCTATATGTGGGCACCACACCCAACAGTCACAGTCTTCTGGGTAAGCCACAGTTTCATTTCAGGTTTATTTTCAGGTTCTACAATTACGCCAATTTGCTCTTGTCTTGCAGTTCATGACTCACAATGGGAACCTCAGTGTGAAAGCCAAGTTTGAAGCTAGAGTCCCAGCTTTCTACTATGTCCCTCAGGCCAACGACTGCCTGTGAGTGAGTGATCCTTGGGAGGGCGTTGGGGAGGGGTCTTCCCAGTCCTGCTCTGTCCCTGGTACCTTTGTCTGAGGTGAGTTCTCCTGTGATCTGGATGGAAGGTTGTTTCAAGGATGGATTTGGTATTACCATGGAGGCTGCATAGGAATCCTGCCTAAAACTAGGTGTGGTGGCAAAAGCCTGCATTCCTGATGCTGGGGAGGTGAGTAAGAGGGCCAGCCTCAGCTACACATTGAGGTGGAAGTCAGGATGGGCTACCTGAGACTCCACCTCAAACAAAACAAAAGCCATTCATATCTAGGGAGCTTTCCAAGTGTGCCAAGCTCTGTGTTAAATGCTGTGTGTGTCATTGTCAAAATTCTCAGCGACCCTGAAAGGATGACTCTCACCCTATGATTTGGAGACAGAACCTGATGGGTGTGAAGGGGCATTAGGAAAACCCAGGATAGCAGGAGGGTTGTAAAAGTGGGGGATGGGGAGGACCATAGAACCTAGTGACCTCAAACTTCTGCAAGGCTGAGTCTTTGAGCCTGGACAACCTTCTCAGGGCCTCCGCTTCACTCAGGGCTCACAAGACAGTGTCTTATGTACACAGGAAAAGGGATCCTCGGGTAGACACAGTTCCATGCAGGTTGGCTACAAAGTTGCATTTGAACCACAGCATGGTGCTCTCAGGCCTTGCACAAATACGTAACTATGATTAGTGGTTCTGTGGTCTTGTAGTTAGGTGACCCAAGGCCTACTGATGCCATGAGGAGTGGCAGGGAAGCACATCTTTATAAGCAGAGGGTTTCAGGTTTCCCCTCCCCACAACTCTACTGCTACCCAGCTGTAAGAAGGTGGTCAAGACACTAAGGCCCTTGGATGTCCTTCTGCATGTAGCCCAACCCCCCTTCAAAAGTGTAAACAGGAAATGCCTTACAACATGATGTAGGTGAAATGACATCATTTGTTTAAGCATCTCCCATGTCACCTAGCACACATTTCTCAGTGTCAACTTTACAGCAATACCAGGTCCCTCATGCCTCTGAGAGTTATGTTGAACACCACTTGAAAGAACCTATCCCATCTTGCCCCACTGTCACCACTCAGCCTTTGCTCCCAGGTCCTGGGCAGCATCTCTTACATGGGCTTTCTACACTGACCCCTCCAGCATTGTTTATCGTGACTCCCACAAATGTCTTTGCATTTTAATCCCTGTTGACAAAGGGCTGGTGGCCTCTTCTCTCCTGTTTTAAAATTACTACATTCCCCGCCTCAGTGACCAGAACAAGTGTCCTCAGTTTCTAGTCTGTCTCCTATTGCTGGTCCTATGGCCCAGGATTCTCATCTCTGTGTTGGGCCTAGTGCTGTCTTTACTGTCCTGTAGAAAAGGCTGTACCTTAGGAAGTACTGGGGATCAAAATCAGGGACTGTGCATATCAGGCCAGTGCTCTTCCTCTGAGCTTCACCTCAAACAATGAAAGAACTCTTGACTGTAAGTCACAGAATTCCAGCTTTGGCTGGGCAGTGGTGCTGCATGCCTTTAATCCCAGCACTTGGGAGGCAGAGGCAGGCGGATTTCTGAGTTCAAGGCCAGCCTGGTCTACAGAGTGAGTTCCAGGACAGCCAGGGCTACACAGAGAAACTCTATCATGAAAAACCAAACTAAAACCAAACCAAACAAACAAAAAAGAATTCCAGCCTTGCTAGCTCAGGTACCAAAAGATTTTGTGGGCTCTGAAGATCAGACACCCGGAAGGACAGATGTGAAGCCACCCTCAATAAGGACAACCCGATACTAGGTGTGATAGTGCACACCTGTAATCCTGGCATTAAGGAGGCCAGGGAGGCTTAAGCCAGAGGAGTTTGGGTTTGAGACAAGCCTGGACTGTGGGATGGCGAGACTCTGTTTCAAAACAATATCAGCAAAGGCCTGCAAGATGGCCTGGCAGGCAAAGGCACCTGCCATTAAGCCTGAGAGTCTGAGTTCTAGTCCTGAGATCTGCACGAAGGAAGGAGAGAAATTATTCCATCAGTTGTTCTCTGATATCCATACATGCACTGTGGAGTGAACAGATACACACATACTATGCACACAAAATAATAAATTACTGTTTTTATAAAAGAGAAAACAAGAGGGAGGAAGAAGAGGATCACAATACCAGAAGCTCAAACATGACCAAGGAAAAAAAGGAGGATGGAAAGGGCACACCAGGGGCTCAAGCATGACATGGTCGTATTCTCTCATGCCTCTTGTCCATCCATCTTTCTCTCAGGCTCACTTCTACCTGCAGCTGGCAGCAAATCCACTTGCAGGTGCATGCTGAACTTCCCAGGATGGCCCAGAGAGGGCTTCCAGTCAGTCTCTAACTTTTGGTTCCTTTGGCCCATACAGCCCAGAACAACCCAGAGCTGCAGGTGATCTGTTTGGGCCAGATGTACAGCTTTAGGTCATTCCTGTGCCTAGGCCATTCGGTCAGCTAACCTTTGGAACAAGTACTGGGAAAAGATAAGAAGGAACAAACAGTGGAGATAGGTTTGTTCTCAGCTGCGAAGTTTCACAGCAGCCAAGAGTAACATTTGGCCAAGGTTAGCAGTAAGAACCTACCATGAGCCTGGTGTTGGGAAGCACACCTTCTTCTAACTGTCTGCGAGGCAGAAGCAAGTGGTTCTCTTTGAGTTCATGGCCAGCCTACATAGTAAGTCACTGTCAACCAACCAACTATCCCTACTTTGTGTTGAATGTAGTGCTGGGTTCTTTACATAGAATTGCCCACCTCAACAGCACTAGGGAGGCAGGTTTATTACTGCCTCATTTCCTAGGTTTAGAAATGGTCAGTAATTTGGTTTGGCAATGTAACACAGTTGCTAGAGTGCTTGCTTATCTTTTTTTTTTTTTGGTTTTTCGAGACAGGGTTTCTCTATGTAGCCCTGGCTGTCCTGGAACTCACTCGGTAGACCAGGCTGGCCTCGAACTCAGAAATCCGCCTGCCTCTGGCTCCCAAGTGCTGGGATTAAAGGCATGCGCCACCACTGCCCAGCTGTGCTTGCTTATCTTAAAGTCCTGGATTTGATCCCCAGTGCTACATAAAACTGGATATGGTGGCATACATCTGTAATCCCATCACTTGGTCGTGTTGGTGGTGGGCTGTAGAAGCAGAAAGATCATGAGTTCAAAGTCAATCTCAGCTACTTTGGACACCTAGGGGTCAGCCTGCAATGCACTAGACCTCATTTCAAAAGACATGAAACAGAAAGTTGAGTCAGTCTGCTCTGTGCAGCATGGTGGCCCCGAGTTCATCAGCGGGTCTAGGACATTTACTACTCAAGTCAGGTTAAGTGTCCAGGAAGCTGATATCTTCATCATTGACTTAGAGGGTTGAGGGACAGTCTAGTGCTTCTCATCCCACTAGAAGACACATTTCCCCAGTGTGTCATCTGGGGAAGTCATAGGTACTGCTGCACATTCCATAAGGCACAGGACACCACACCTCCACTACAGAGAATCATCCAGCACCAATGTTAACTATCCTAAGGAGGAAAACCTCTGGGTATCTTGAGGTAGCAGTTTCTGGATTGTCCTCACCCTCTGCTATAGGATCTGGGAAGTCACTGTGGGAAGACACTGAAGACATGACTGATCAAAAGTTCTCTTTTTAGGGTCTTAAAGGAACAATGGATTCGAGCTAAGTATGAAAGACAGGAGTTTATGGCTGATGAGAAGGCTGTCTCACTCCCAGGTAAAGTTACCATTTTGTATGCATGTATGTATATGCACCACATGTATGTAATGCACTGAGAGACCAGGATGGGTTATTAGATCCCCTGGGACTGGAGTTGTGACCGTTGTGAGCCATGTGGGTATGTCGGGGATTTGAACCTGGGTCCTCTGAGAGAGCAGGCAATGTTGTCAGCTACTGAGCCATCTGCAACCTAGCCTTAATGTTTTGAGGTCTATGATCTACTGAGCTTTAGATAATGAAAGGGAGAGGTGGGCTTCGTAAGAACATGGGCTGGATTTCAGCTTCTCTTTCCATACTCATGCAGGGTACCTCACTGGCATTCCTAGATCCAGGGCGGTTCTTCACCCCACTGACTCAAATTCTCAAGCTGGCATTGCCCAGAGGACAAAGGTCTTGAAGGACATCAGTTTCCAGGATTTCCAGGAGTACAAACTATTCCCAACTAATAGATGTCTTAAGGATCATTCTTTTTTTTTTTTTTTTGGTTTTCCAGACAGGGTTTCTCTGTATAGCCCGGGCTGTCCTGGAACTCACTCTGTAGACCAGGCTAGCCTCGAACTCTGCCTCTGCCTCCCAAGTGCTGGGATTAAAGGCGTGGGCCACTACCGCCCGGCTCTTGAGGATCATTCTTATACTCATAAACTTGACTGATGCCAATGTCAAAGTTGGCTAGGAGTACATAATTTTATATATACACATATGCACATATACATACATACATACATACATACATACTACATACATAGTCTCACTATATATACTTACTTAAAATTCTCAATGTATCCCAGGCTGGCCCTAAACTCATAAAGACCCATCTGTCTCTGCCTCCTGAATGCTGGGATCAAAGAGGTGTTGACCACCACACATTCTCTTCATTCATTTGAGGCAAAGTCTTATCTGTCCCAAGGTGGCCTTGAACTCTCTGTGTAGCCAAGGATGACCTTGAATTCCTGATACTCCTACTTCTACCTCCAGAATGTTAGGATTATACCCTCCGCTCCTGGCCTCATGCAGTGCTGGGGGTTAAATCCAAAGCTTCTTGTATGCCATGAGAGACTCTGCCAGCTGAGCCACATCCCAGCTCAGGACCTCGTTCACAATTAGTCCTATTTCTTAATACTTGGTTGTCTCTCTCTCTCTCTCTTTTTTTTTTTTTTTATAGCCCTGGCTGTCCTGGAACTCACTCTGTAGACCAGGCTAGCCTTGAACTCAGAAATCCGCCTGCCTCTGCCTCCCAAGTGCTGGGATTAAAGGCGTGCGCCACCACTGCCCGGTTAATACTTGGTTGTCTTAAGAGCATTTTCTTTTCTTTCTTTTTTTCTTTCTCTTCTCCACTCCCCTTTCCCTCTCTTCTCTGCCTTTCCTTTTTTTTTTTTTATTAAATTAAAACATCTTTATTGTTATGTGTATGATTGTTGGGTCAGAATGTATGTATGTATACCACATGACCCTCAGAGGTCAGAAGAGAGTTTCTGACCCTCTGGAACTGGAGTTATGTATGGATGGTTGTGAGCTACCATGTGTGTGTTGAGAACCGAACCTGGACCCTTTGCAAAAACATCAAGTGCTCTTAACTGAACCGTTTCCACAACACGGAAATGGTTTCTTTGTTGTTTTGGGACTGGCTCTGAACTCATAACAGCTCCCTTTCCTCAGCCTAAATCCTGGGATTGCAGGCCTCACCACACTTGCCTTCTTCTCAGAAAGCAGTGGGATCTCATGGAGAAGTGAGGAAGAAGGGATTGCACAGTGGGTGGAGACTGAAATCATATAAAGTTGGCCCCAGATAGGACCCTGCGTCCTGCACCTGAGAGTGCTAGGTCAGACTGGCTACATTCCAGTGCTGGGTGGAGGCCCTTCTACCCTCGGTCCCTTGAGCCTCAGGTTAGCCTACTTATATTGACTTCATGGCTCATTTCTTGCCCTTGGTGGTTAAGGTAACCGAGAAGGGTTCCTGTGGAAGCGAGGACGGGACAATGCACAGTTCCTGAGAAGAAGGTTTGTCCTTCTGTCGAGGGAAGGCCTCCTGAAGTACTACACCAAGGAGGAGGTAAGAGGAGGCCAGGCTGCCTGTTTTCTCAGGATCACTCCATTCAGCCCTGGCAAGGATAATGTTCTCCTAGTTGTCCTTGGCTACGGTCAATCCAGCCCACGAGCAGCCACACGTTGGTCACTCAAAAATCAGCCTAGTTTGGTCCACTTCATTGCTGTTGTTCTCTAGTTTGTTTTTTTTTTTTTTTTTTTTTTGAGACAGAGTCTCACTTTGTAGCCCTTACTAGCCTGAAACTTGCTACTTAAATCTGGATAGCCTTGAACTCAGAGAGAGCCCTCTGAGTGCTCAGATTATAGGAGTGTGCCATCATGCCTGGTTTAAAAACAATTTTATTGAGATATATTTCCATATTTGGTTTACTCATTTAAATGAGGCTGGGCAAATGGCTTGTGACGCTAATCCCAGCACTTGGGAGGCACAGGCAGGCTGATCTCTGTGAGTTTGAAGCCAGCCTGGTCTACAGAGTGAGTTCCAGGACAGCCAGTACTGTATGATGAGACCTTGTTTTAATAATGAATGAATGAATAAATAAATAAATAAATAAATAAATACATAAACTCCCTCTTCCTTGTCCAGTGCCCAGGATCACCTGGGGAACCCCGTGATCAGTCAGTCAGAAGTCTGCCTCTTCTATGTTCTTCTTCTTATGATGCTAGGGACTGAGCCCAGGGCCTGTGCAGGCTGGATATCATTCTATCATTGAGTTCATTCCTAGCACAGCTAGCCTAAGCCTCGTTAAGGCACAGAGACTGTTCTCTTAAATGCAAAACTGATTGTTGCCAGGTGTGGTGCCACCTGCCTTTAATCCCTGTGCCCCCAAAACAGAAGCTGGTGGGTCTCTATGAACTCCAGGCCAGTCTGAGCTGGCTGCATAGTGAGTTCCAGGCCATCCTGGGCTATAGAGCAAGACCCTGTCTAAACTAGAGCTGGAGAAATGGCTCAGCAGTTAAATGTTGCTCTTGCAGAGGACTCTGGTGTGGTTCTCAGCACCCACACCATGGCTCACAACCAGCCCTAACTCAAGTTTCAAGGAATTCAACACCCTCCTGAACTCACATGCATCAGGCATGTACACAACACATGTACCTACACGGAGGCAAAGTCCTTCTACACATAAAGTAAGATAAACCTAAAAATAAATCAAAACCAAACCAAACAATAAAAGAACAGAATTGCCAAGCCTTCAAAAGGCCAGGCCAGGAACTGTATTCTACAGGGTCAAGACAAATCATGCATCCAGCTTTACTTAAAGGAAAGGATTCAGTTCTACATCCTTCTGGGTAGAGCATCTGGGGACTACTGGGAGAGAAGGAAGTGGTGAGGATATCTTTGGGGGCCAGCTACCACATCAAGCCCTGGGGCGGTGCAGTATTAGAGAACAGGAAAAAAAAAAAGGAAAGTGTAACAAAGTTAGGTGTGAAGTAGCAGCCGACCAGAGGGGCAGGCTCTGAGCTCTGCAACTCAGCCTTGAGACATGTGGTCTGTGTGTTTCCATGATGTTCTCCTAGATGAGTAGACAGTTCTAGAAGGGCAAGCTGGTATGTCCCAGACTGAGGGAAAAGTGTAGTGGAGAAAAGTGGGGACCTGCCACTTTAAACACTGACAACTTGCTTTCCCGATGGTTCTGTTTTTTCAAGGCAGGAAGAGAAAAGCTCTCCTGCGGTCAGACAGGGCCCAAACCCCACTGGTGGTTGTGACTTGGTCTCCATAACAGGGTCTCCTCCTTGGCTGGATAAAGGTTGTTTGTTTTTCAGTCTCAGGCCAGTCCAGTATGTTGTGTTAAGGGTAGTGGGGGTAGCAGTGGCCTTTAGTCACTTTTGCTTGATTTTGTTTCCAGATGGGATCCTGCTGTGTAGCCCCTGTTGGCCTTTAACCCATAATGGTCCTGACTGTTGAGATTACAGGAATGCACTCCATATGGACCTCCTACTCTTTTCTTTCTTCCTTTCTTTTTTTTTTTTTTTTTGGTTTTTCGAGACAGGGTTTCTCTGTGTAGTCCTGGCCGTCCTGGAACTCGCTCTGTAGACCAGGCTGGCCTTGAACTCAGAAATCCGCCTGCCTCTGCTGGGATTGCTGGGATTAAAGGCATGCGCCACCACTGCCCAGCTCTTCCTCTCTCTCTCTCTCTCTCTCTCTCTCTCTCTCTCTCTCTTTCTCTCTCTCTCTCTTAGTATTTTTCCTAAAATGGAATTTTAAATTATGAAAGTAACTCATTTTTATGTAAAAATTTTGGATTGTGCAAAGAATTAAGCTAAATGGAGTCACAATTTCTCTGGAGGTTGAGGCAGGAAGGGTTTCAGCCCAAGAGTTAAAGACTAACCTGGGCAGTCACAAATGATGGTACATGCCTTTAACCCCAGCACTTGGGAGGCAAAGGCAGGCGGACCTCTGTGAGTTTGAGACCAGCTTGGCCTACAGATCAAATTCCAGGACAGCAAGGGGTTCACAGAGAAGCCCTGTCTGGAAAAAAAAAAAAAAGGAAAACCAAAACCAAACAAAAAGAAGAAGGAGGAAGAGGAGGAAGAGGAAGAAGGAGAAGAAGGAGAAGGAGGAGGAGGAAGAAACTTTATTTTAGCCCAATTCTAAAAAGAAAAGAAAAGGAAACCCACAGAACTAAATTTCTACCTACAGTTAACTAAGGAAATGACACTATAACTGAGAATTAACTGCTGCTCAACAGTGAGAAGAGATGAAGTAGGGTTTAGAGAGATGCTCAACAGCTGAGAGCATCTGCTGCTCACCCAGATGACCCAAGTTTGGTTTCCAGCACCCACATTAGGCACTCACAACCTCCTGTAACTCCAGGGGATCTCATGCCCGCTCTGTCTTCTGAGAGCATCACACACACACGGTGCACATAGATATACTCAGGGACACAGACATACACATAAATATAACAATCTTCCAAAATGGATAACTGAACAATATAGGTAAAGTTTAAAAACATTTTTCTAGCAAAAAAAAAAATTATTATACAAGAATAATAGATGAAAGACTTAGGTATAGCTTAGTGGCAGATTATAAATAAACAAATAGGGCTGGAGAGATGGCTCAGAGCCCTGGCTGTTTTTCCAGAGGTCCCGAGTTCAATTCCCAGCAACCACATGGTGGCTCACAACCATCTATAATGGGATCCGATGCCTTCCTTTGGTGTGTCCGAGGAGATATACACACATACATAAAATAAATAAATCTTAAAATAAACAAACAAACAAACAAACAACAGAAGGGAACTGGAAGTGCCTCTTAGTGGTAAAGCACTTGTTTGTAAGCTCAAGGTCCAGGGCTTAGAATTTAAATTTGTGTTTAAAAATTTGTGAGCCAGAGGAGAGTTCAGTGTGGCCCCTGCCAGCCCAGGGGCTTGAAATCATCCTGTCTCTCATGAGGATCCCTTGGCATTGGTTAGTGCTCTACCACGTGTCAGAGCCCAAGGGGTGGACACCAAGAGTGTGGAGTGTGTGCCACAGGGTGCATGCGGTGGGACACTCTGAGCCCCATGCCTGCTGTCTGGCTGTTTATTTCACAGGAGTGTTTGGTTTGTTCCAGGAAAGGTTCTGTGGCTAAAACATGTAAACAGTCCAAAGTGAAGGTTTCCTAGACCCCACTTCCAGCTCAGAGGGGCCAGTCTGATGAGGCAGGTGGGGATGGCCAGCACAGGCAATCCGTAGCTGTGCCGTTGGTTATTAGAGCAACCCAGGGTTCTGTATTAGAGGTTTTCTTGTATTGAAGGCCTCGGCAGGAAGGCACCTGTTGCCATCGGTATCTCGAGGATCCTTTCTTTCTTCTAGGGTAAAGCCCCAAAGGCTGTCATCAACATCAAGGACTTAAATGCCACCTTCCAGACAGAGAAGATTGGACATCCCCACGGGCTGCAGATAACCTACAGGAAAGAGGGCCACACTAGGAACCTGTTTGTATATCACGACAGTGGAAAGGTGAGATGACTCAGGTCACTTTTGCAGCCTCCAGCATGGTGTCCAGTCCTTGGGCTCAGCTTACCATCTCTGCCGCACGTTTCATCATGCACTCAGGGCCTCTGGAGACCTGCTGCTATTGCTGCTGCCACTGTGCCACTGCCATGACCACGACGGTGCTGCTTCGCCTGCTGCTAAGCCTTTAGCTATTTCCTCGGTGTACTCTGAGTCAGAAATCTGAGGAAGGCAGAGTAGAATATAGATGAACCAAACAAGTACTGGGGACGTATCTGGGCAATGCACACTCATCAGTGAGAGAAAAGTTAGCAGAGGGGACCCTAGCAGAATACAGCAAATCCACAGCTATGGTGGCACACGCCAGGCCCCAGAATTAGGGAGGTAGAGAAGCATGTGGATCTCTGTCAGTTTGAGGCCAGCCTGGTCTATAGATTGAGTTCTAGGACAGCCCCGATTACATAGTGAGACAACAACAACAACAACAAAGAAGAAGAAACGGCAGGATTGGGTAGGGCAGAGACTGTGATCTGGGAGGAAGGGTGGATGGACTGAGTCAGGGTCTTTCCTTCCAGATGTCACACTGGACCAAGAGCACTGGTATTACCTAAGACCTTGCGAGGCCGAAGGAGTGGCTCAGTACTGCCCTTGCTGCCCTTGCAGAGACCTGGGTTCAGTTCCCAGCACCGACACAGTGGTTCACAATAGTTTATAACTTCAGTTCCAGGGCACCCAATGCCCTCTTCTGGCTTCAGTGTGTGCAGGACTCTTATGTGGTGCATAGACATACATGCAGGCAAAACAATCAACACACGCTAAATAGAAACAAATATCTTTTAAGAACATATGTTATTTTATGTGTAGGGGTGTTTTGCCTGCATTGTGTGTCTGTGTATTACATTTGTGCCTGGTGCTCACAAAGGCCAGGATAGGGTATCATACTCCCCTGGAATCGGAGTTACAAATAAATGTGGGTGCTAGGAGTTAAAGCTGGGTCCTCTGGAAGAACAGCCAGTGCTCTTTACTGCTGAGCCGTCTATCTGTCCAGTCCCAAAATAAATAAACAGAAGGACCAGCCTGAGGCCACCCAAGACCTGCTCAATTAGAAACTTTAACAGTCTTGAGTGATTAAGACAGACAAGAATGTTTGAGAAACGTTATGATTTTATAACACTTGACAGGCTGAAGCAGGAGGATCATGGGTTTGCGGCCGACTTAGGATATATGGCAAGACTGGGAGATCAGCCGGTCTGAGCAGAGGAGTCAAGCAAAGGATATATGTGAGAGAGAACTGGTTCAGGTCCTCAGCGTAGTCGGTGATGGGACAGGGCAGAGATGCTAAGTACACACGAGGGAAGCATTGGATGACACTTTGGGGTCATTTAACTTTGCCAGACATACTCTTGGTGACTGTTATCCTTCATGTCTGAATGCTTGACAACCCTGAAAATATTTTCTCCCCACATTCAGGGGACAGGGAAAGGTCAGGTCCCTTACTCGGGTCACACAGTGGACATTTCCTTAGCCCAGCACCCATTTAACAACTTTTTTGTGCCAGGGATCAAAACAGGATTTTTCTGTGCAGCCCTAGCTGTCCTGGAACTCGATTTGTACACCAGGCTAGCTTCAAACTCAGAGATCCATCTGTCTCTGCTTCTGCTTTTGCCTCTCTGCCCCTGCTGCTGCCCCTGCCTCTGCCCCTGCCTCTGCCCCTGCCCCTGCCCCTGCCCCTGCCCCTGCCGCTGCCGCTGCCCCTGCCCCTGCCGCTGCTGCTGCCCCTGCCTCTGCCTCGAGTGGTGGGATCAGTGGTGTGTGCCACTACCAGCCGGCTAGAACTTTTTTTTTAATTGATCTCGTCATTTTATTGTATGTGTGAGTATGATTCTGTCGTAGAAGAACCTGGGGCAGCAGCTATCTGGAACTAGATGAATGGATTTTCCAAGGGTCCCTCAAACTGAGGAGGTGACCCTGGACTACTCCCTAGTGCCCACCTCTTTTATTTGCTTGTTGAGTGGTTTTATTTGCTTGGGGGTTTTATTATTGTTGTTATTTTGAAGGGTTCTTACTAGATAGCCCAGGCTAGCCTGGAGCTTGTGTAGATCAGGCTGGTCTTGAACATACCTGAGTTCTGAATAAAGGTGTATATACCACCACACCTGGCTCCCACGGTGCTTTCAAGCACCGAGTGGCCTTGAAGCATCACTGTGGAAGTATTTCCCAGTGTGAGACTCACTGTGAAAGTATTTCCCAGTGTGAGATGCAATGGAAGCCTCCTGGGCTGCAGCTACTTTCGCTCAGGATGTAAGACTGGTTTTCTTTTCCTTATACTCTGAGTATAAATGAAACCCAAGCGTATGCTGGGTTCCTTTTTTTCTGAGGTGACCCCATTTTCCTAATGCCTAAGACTCAAGAACTTTTGTCTTTCATTTTCTAATTTTTGTTCCTTTTTAGGGAGGAGTTTTATTTTGCTATGTAGCTCAGCTGGTCTTGAACTTGGAGCAATCTTCCTGACTCAGCCTTTCTCCCACTGAGATTATAGGCATAGGCCAACATACCCTGCCAAGAAGGCCCTTAACAAACACCAAGACAGAAGAGCTCAGAAGTCTGACTAGGCCCGTGTGTCTGGCTGTGTCTGGCTGTGTCTGGCTTTGGGGGTAGAAAAGAACTTGTTGGTCTCTGTTGAGCCTGTACTCACATGACTTCCTCAATCACTGCAATGCCTCAGCCTGCCCTGCAACATAGCTCTCCCAGCAAGTCTTTCTGCCTCTCCATCCCAAATTCCCAGGAGAGAGCATATCTGATAAGCCCAGTCCTGTCTCTTTATTGGTCCAGCTGCTGTGGCCAAGGCAGGGTGGGGACCGTAGCAACGTGAGGTCGAAGATCAGTTCTCAGAGAAACTTGGGCAGGGGCAACTGCCTGGGGGTCTATTACAACATCTAAACTAACCTGTGCAATGAATGGACTGTCATAGGTCAAATGGTACAAAGTAAAATGAGCGTGGTGATACACACCTATAAATTCAGTTCTTGGGAGTAGAGGCAGGAGAGTAACAACAGGGTTCAAGTGTAGGTTACATGGCAAGCTCTTGTATCAAAGATAAGAAAAAAATAAAAATATGATGGGGTGCACATGTGAAGTTCCCGTACAGGGAGGAAGAAACAGGAGGATAAGGAGTTTAAGGCTAGCCAGGTGGTGGTGGCCTCAGTGACATTTGCATCGGCAGCATCAGCGGTGGTGGCACATGCCTTTAGTCCCAGCAGTTGGGTGGCAGAGGCAGGCAGATCTCTGTGAATTTGATGCCATCCTAGTCCATAGACCAAGTTTAAGGTTAGCCATGGCTTCACAGAGAAACCCTATCTTGATAAAAAACAAACAAACAAAAAAGAGTTCAAGGCTAATCTCTGATACTTAAGTGTTTGAGGAGGCTAGCCTGGACTACGTGAGACTGTACCACAAAAAAAAAAAAAAAAAAAAAAAAAAAGGTAAAAAGGGCTCTAGAGACACAGCTCAGTTGTAGAAGGCTTTCTCCTTGGAAACCGAGGAGGAGGGGGAAACTGGAGAGATGTCTCAGCAGATAAGAGCACTTGCTGTTCTTGCAGGGGATCTGGGTTCAGTTCCCTAAACTCACATGGTGGCTCACACAGCTGCTTCTAACTCCAGTTACAGGAGCTCTCCAAGGCTGTCTTCTGTCCTCTGCAGGCTCACTTGGGGCACATACATGGATGTAGGCACGCACATATACACATGAAGAACGGAAAGCGTGGGAGTGGGGCAGAAGGAAGGAGGGGGAAGGATGACTGGTTGGAGAGAGCTGAGAAAGCCTTGGGAGTGTGGCTCTCGGGCTGAGAAGATGTTGGCTCACGATGATGAAGGATGTGCTCTCAGCGTGACATCCACTTGTGGCTGGCCTGTGCATTCCAGGTCCTGAGTACCTTTGATGGAGGAATGTCTCCACATGTATCCCCCACCCCCACCCACAGAAGTGTGTCCCAGCACCCCACAGCATTGCAGCACCCACCGGAGAGGCTTAGTGTTAAGGAATACCGTCTCAGGCCCACTCCACACCAGCCTGCTGATAGGAATCCAGGGGTATCTCACAGACTTTAAGAACTGTACTAAGCTTTTTTTGTGCAGCTCACACTGGTCTTTTTCCGTGGCTGGGAGCTCTTCCTGTCTGTGACTTGTGACTAGCTCAGGGCAGTCCCCTGGGCTCTGATATCACCCTCTCCAGATGTTCCCAGATGGTCCTGTGTGAAGTGTATATTTCCTGACTCTGTGTGTGTGTATGTGTGTGCTTGTGTATGTGTGTGTGCTGTGACCCTGCTCCCTCTAGCCTTGCCAGGGGTCTCCCATATCCGCCCATCTCACCACTCTGCGTATTTTGAATTTTTCCTGGCAGGAGATAGTGGATTGGTTCAATGCTCTCCGTGCTGCCCGCCTGCAATACCTAAAATTGGCCTTTCCTGATCTCCCAGAGTCTGAGGTGAGCTAAATGTGGACTTTGCTTCTGTGTGTTCCATCCCCTCCCTTTTTCTCTTCTTGTCTCTTGACCCCTAAGACACTTAGGGGCTAGACAATGTTTATTGCAGGTTAAGCCTAGGAGGACTGGAGGATAACAACTCTCTGCAGGGTCAAGTGCCTCAGCCTCTGAATATCTTTCTGATCTTTCCCACTAAAATATGCAAATGAGCCTACCTACTATATGCACAGTGCTTTTAACCCATTTTATCCAGACTCTTCTTGTACAGTAATTACTTAGAACTGGGAGTGGGGTTTGGTGATTACTTCCATTAAGTAAATAATGGGCCCTCCCACAGCTTTGTGGCTGTGTTCTGTGGTGCCTTGGGACTATGTTGGGATCCTCATAACAGGGGTGGATCTGCCTGTGGTGGTAAAGGTGACAGTAAGCTGAGGACTTCCTTTTGATTGTCCCCAGACATCTGGGACCTACATCTACTTCCTGTTCTGTCTGGGGACAGGAATGACATGGGGCAAAGATGGTATTTTAAGCCAAGGAGTCCTAGGTCCTCACGGTTACTCTGTCATCGACATACTGTGTCACACTTACAGGTACCTTTCTGAGCATCTTCCCATATTAGGAAGATGGCGATTGGTCCAGGTCTCCTTCAGGGTCCTCTCTAAGCTATGAGGTTCTGTGATTGAGGATGTAGGTTTGTTTTGTTTTGATTTTATTTGTTTTTTGATAGTGGTGTTTGTGACACAGTCTCACTGTTTAGCCCAGGCTGTCCTAGAACTCACTATGCAGACCAGGCTGGTCTAGAACTCACCTAGATCTGCCAGCCTCTGCCTCCCAAGTGCCACGATGAAAGGTGTGGGCACATGTGTGTGTACTCGTGTGCAGATACAGGTACACATGTATGCCTATGTGTGTGGAGGTCAGAGGTCAGCCTCATATGTCATCCTTCAGATGCCATCTGCCTTTATTTTCTGGAGACAGTCTCTCTTCACTGGCCTGCGCCCTCCCATTAGGCTGGGCTGGCTGGCAAGTGAGCCCCCGGGATCCTCCAGTCTGTGTCTCCCTAGTGCTGAGATGTCCTCATGACAAAGCTCAGGTTTTTTGTTTTGTTTTGTTTTGTTTTTTTGGTTTTTCGAGACAGGGTTTCTCTGTGTAGCCCTGGCTGTCCTGGAACTCACTCTGTAGACCAGGCTGGCCTCGAACTCAGAAATCCGCCTGCCTCTGCCTCCCAAGTGCTGGGATTAAAGGCGTGTGCCACCAATGCCTGGCTAAAGCTCAGATTTTTTATGTGGGTACTGTTGTTCAAAGTCAGGTCCTTACACTTGTGTGGCGAGCATTTTACCCACGAGACCGGCTTCTCAGCCTGATTCTGGAGTTTCTGTTAGACTCTCATTGAAAGCCTAAATAAATGTTCCTCATATCCTGGAGTTTACAGGGAGCTGAGTATTTTTCACGGGCCCACATCAGGCCCAGTGATGTACCCATTTAGCGGTTCCCTAGGCACAGTTCCAGCAAGGCCAGAGGTCAGGCTCAAAGCTAAGGTCGTAATGCTTAGTCAACACCCAGAGCTGGTTACTGCTGACTCAGTGAAGAGTTCAGAGTGCTGACTGCTGACCCAGGAGAGAGGAAGGCACAAGGGGAGGGCACAGGGCAGGTGCTTAGCCTTATTTAATCTGGCCTGGCTTCCTATGTTTGGTAACCTATGTGGAGGAAGTTGGTCTTTGACCAATGTCCTCAGTGTTCCCTTACCTCTGTTATCAACCATATTCTACCACCCCTGCCTGTCTCTCGTTCTTGTCTTTCCTATATCTAGGTGTGGTGCTCAGATTTAAGAATTTGGTGCTGAAAATCCAGGAAGTCTTTGTGGAGTTACAATCCTTTCATCTGAAAGGCACAGGGGTGGGGGGTGTGACTCAGCAATAGAGCACTTGCCTAGTTTGCATTAGACCTTGGGTCCTGTTCCCAGCATGAGGAAAGAAGAAGGTAGGTTTAGTGGCTTATAATCCCAGAACTCTGGAGGCTGAGGCAGGAGGATTGCTGAATGTTTGAGGCCAGCCTGAGCCAATAGTAAGTTCAAAATCAGGCCAGCTTGGGATACACAGAGAAACCATGTTGGAGGGGAGGAAGGGGGAATTAAAGCTGTGCACGTAAGCTCAAGTCAGAGGCCAGAGTGCTGCCCAGAGAATGACACGGCCTCTCAGCTTCAGTGTGCTCAGCTGTCACCTTGGCCCCCTGCCCCTGCCAGGCTATTACAGTGAGCCAGTGTCTGAGGTACAGGAAAGAATGCTGAAGGAAATCTGAAGGAAAACTCCAGCCAAGTGGCTTCCCTTGTTTCTCTTGGGCCTAGACTATAGAATGTATTTGAGGAGAGATGGAATAGTCTGGTGTAGATTTTCATTTGGGGCCTCAACTTCCCTCTCTTGCTTCCTGTGCTGATTCGCCAGCTCCCACCTCAACTTTGTCCCTGCAGCTCCAGGGCCCTACTATGTTCTTAGGAATTTAGGCTGCCATTAGATTGATATTTTGATGCTCTAGGTCTGTATAGTCCCCAGGAAGCATAGGAAGTCACCTGTAATCCCTGGAAGCTTCTTTGCTTGTAGGAAAGCAGTCTGTAGGGCCGTGGGAGATCACAGTAGGGCATGGACCCCCAGAGACAGAAAGCTTACCAAGGTAACATCTGGTTGAGCCAGAAGTAGTGCTGAGATTCTGGTGGTCTCCTAACACCTAGGCCAGAGTTTTCTCAATGTGTCTTCCCTGCTATCTCTTCTTCATGGCCAGTGTCAGAATCTGTGACAGAGTCTCAGCTGGTACTGGCATGGTGAGGAGTCTAGTCAAAGGCCTCTGCCATCTGTGCATTTCGGTGTTATAGTGTGATGGTCAAAGGCCTCTGCCTGCCGTCTGTGCATTTCGGTATTATAGTGTGATGGTACACCGGACACTGGCCCACTGCCTGTCAGCCCTGAGTATGAGTCCCACTTCTTCATGCTGTCATGTCAGCCGAATGACGTCTGTCAGCAAAATCTTCTCCCATATCTCTATGGCTTGTTTTCTTCTTTCTTTTCTTCTCCTCTTCCTCCTATTTCTTCTCTTCTTTTTTTCTTTTCCTTCTTCTTCTTCCTCCCCTCCCCTCCTCCTTTTTCTTTTCTTTCTTTCTTTCTTTTCTTCTTTCTTTCTTTTCTTTCTTCTTTCTTTCTTTCTTTCTTTCTTTCTTTCTTTCTTTCTTTCTTTCTTTCTTTCTTTTTGAGATAAGGCTTCTCTCTGTAGCCTCAGCTGTCGTGGAACTCACTCTGTAGATCAGGCTAGCCTCAAATTTAGAGATCTACCTGCTTCTGCCTCCTGGGTACTATGGTTAAAGGCATGCACCACCATGCCTGTTGACAAGTGGGTCTCTTAACAGTCTTGCCTGGTCTATAATCTGAGATGAATGAAGTACTTTAACCATCACTGACTCATGCTGGAAATCATATTGGGACTGACTTGTTGAGATATTTGTATTATATCCTGTACACACTCCAAGTATAACCCATAAGCCATACATCCGTCCCCATTCCAGACTTCTCTCTGTCTTGGGGCCAAGTTCAATCTGAAACCTTAAGCTCTGGGTGTAGATAGGGGTCAGCCTCTGTCTCTCTCTTCAGCTCGTGCCTCTCATCACCAGGAACTACCTCAAACAAGGCTTCATGGAGAAGACTGGTCCAAAGGTACATCCTAGTGTTTCCTGTGTTACTTAATATGGTTCTATTCTAACCACCGGTAAAGGAGAAAATCGAGGGTTGGGGTGGGGCCAGAGGGCGGGAGGGCGAGGAAGGGACGAATACCAATGTGTGTGAGTTTCTGTGTTGATGGACTGAGTAGAGACTGGGGGTTCGCTGGTGTGTGACCTAGCATTGCTCCAAGGGTTTCTTCCCCTATGTCCCATCCTGTCACGTTCACCAGATCCCCTCTCTGATCACCGTTAGACTCTAACCCCAGGAAATCGATGAGGAAAAGGAATCCCCAGAGAGACTGCTTCTGAGCAGATGGTTCAGAATCTGTTGTGCTAGGAGTCTACCAGGACAGTGTCAGAGAGACTTGGGCTAGTCTGAAAAAACATGGCCTTGTGTTCCTTCCTCCTCACACTCAGCCTGGCTCCCCTGAGCCCATCCCCTCACCAGGTCCTGTGCCTTCTCACTAATATAAGCAGAACAAGGAGCTGCCCCTCAAGGGAGGAGCCTGGGCTTTCCTGTAAGCCAGACAAAGGTTGTACAAACTCAGATTCTTAGGAGGCTGGGGCAGAAGGATTACAAGTTTGAAGCTAACCTGACAAAGTCGAAGTCAGTCTGCACAATGTGGTGAGCCCCCCACCCCTAATCTCAAACTGGCAATTTAATAAGGTGAGATAGGGTATGGCGATATAGCTCAAGCCAGAGGGCCTGCCTAGGCTAGCATTCATAAGGTCAGGGGTTCAGTGCCAAAACACAATAATGTGTTACAGGACAGGTGGTAAGAGGACCCAAGGTGTTGAAGGACAGTGTGGGAAAAAAGCCTCAGGAGCCCGATGGTGGCACACATCTTTTATAACAGCACTCGGGTGGCAGAGGCAGTTGGATCTCTGTGAGTTTGAGACCAGCCTAGTGTACAGAGAAACCCCCATCTCAAAAGAGAAAGAAAGGAAGGAAGGAAGGAAGGAAGGAAGAAAGGAGGAAAGAAAGAAAATAAAAAGGAAAAAAAAAAGCCTCAGAAGTTGGAAACTGGTCAAGTTGTGGTGATAGTCCCCTTCCCTCAGAAGCTAGGCTTGGTCCCTGGCTTTTGCCTCAGGCCTTGTTCTCCCCTGAGCCCAGGGCAGCACTTTCACCTTTGTAAGCAGGAGCCACTTCTGACTTCTCTGGCTTCCTTCTTCTGAGACTTTTTTGTCCACAGCCCAAAAAAGAGGGAAGTACCCCTTTC